GTGATCTAAGTATAAATGCAGCCGCTTCATGAAGTGGTTTGTTAGAGACCATCAGTAAAGTCATATTCAGGCATTTGCCAAAAAAAATAAAAATAAAAATTACTGTACATCATTTTCATTCCACTTTGTAAAAATGTTGGATGTATGAATTCATCATATAAAATCTATACAAAACATTGTTGTTTGTGGTCATTATATGAAAGTATATTAAAAAAAATCTCCAGGACAAACAGTACCTTTGGAAAGTGGTTATAATAAATAGCTTAGTATAAAATTAGATGTGCTGTTTGGAAGGTCTTACCTTACGGGACGTCCTCACTAAGCTGAGGTTAATGGTTACGAGTCCATCAAAATCCTTGTCAGGAAACCTCAGGCCCTCCACATAAAATATGAGTTCTTGATCGGGTCCAGGGTATGGCACTTCCTGAGACAGCACCTCGCTGCTCAGGACCAGTGGAAATTCATTTACACATTTTCTAATAAATATTGCTGTGGATGCACAAAGATAAATAAGAATCACTAGTTTCTTTATTTTAAACACAGACACAAACACATACAAAACATTTGTCTAACAAGTGATTTAAAGCTACAGTATGTCATTTTTAGTGACCTCTAATGGGCAGCAATGACCCCGCCCCCACACCAATAATACGGACACAGTTAAAGCACAAAATGGCATCAGTAACGTCCCCATATTCTAAATTGTTAAACTATGATGAGGTTTGTTTAAACAGATAATTTTATGAATAATATTTTATTAGTCGTGCAGGATAGATTTTATACAGGCCTAACTTGCCTCAGTCGTATTTTGAGTATACTGGCGATTTCTACAGTCACTATTTTGTCAGTTCTGCGCTTCTGTGGCGCAAAGATGTCTTCTTTCATTAACGGGAGGCCTCCTCCTGTGTTATTATAAAAAGCAATTTCAAAGGCAACACAAATATAAAGATTGGGTCTTTTCTTTAATGTTATATATTATGCATAAGTATATTATTTAAATTCAAAAATACTCTACTTTTTTTTTCAGTGCTAACACTAAAGAGGCCATGAAGACTCTATACCAGGCTATCTCTGAGCTCCAATCTGCATACACAGAGGGTGTTTTCATCATTGCTGGGGATTTAACCAGGCTTGACTGTTCTCCCTCATTTCTACCAACATGTAGACTTTGCAACTCGGGGGTGAAAACATTTTAGACCTGGTTTACTCTAACATCAAAGTTGATTTCAGAGCAGCCCGCCGCCCCTACCTAGGGTCATCAGATCGTCTCTCGGTCATGCTTATCCCTGCATATAAGCCCCAGCTTGTCTGGGCTAAACCGACAGTTAAAGAGGTCTGTGTGTGGTCTAAGGGTGCCATGGAGACATTCCAAGACTGTTTTGAATGCTCTGACTGGAACATCTTCAAGGCTGCCGCGACATATGACAACTTATTTAATATTGATGAGTATGCTATGATTGTGTCAGCCTACATTAACAAATGCATTGAGAACGTCAGCATCAAAAAGAACATCACCACCCGGGCCAACCAAACACCCTGGATAAATGGAGAGTTAAGAAATTGCCAAAAGCACAGAACTCAGCTTTCAAGTCTGGTGATACAGAGGCACTGAGAACAGTGCGTGCCAACTTAAACAATGCCATCAGATCAGCCAGAAAATCCAGGATCTTTTGCACTACGACCGCAACACCAGGATGATGTGGAAAGGCTTTTGGATGATCACAGACTACAACACACCCTCCCCCCGGTAGATGCAGCAAACACTGACTTCCTAAATGAACTGAACAACTTCTTTAGAAAGTTTGAGACACTACACAGCAGACATGGGCAATGTGGAGTCAACAAGTCATCTCCATGTCATGTATTTAATCTACCCAGCAAATTAACCAGGTGAGTCCAATCTGCACAGGTTAATTCACGGTGAAGATTGGACTCACCTGCTTCAGTGGCTGGGTAGAACAAATACATGACATGGAGATGACTTGTTGACTCCACATTGCCCATGTCTGCTACACAGCACTCCAGCAGTGAAAGCTGTTCCACACCAGGGGGAGGAGACACTAAACCTGGACGTAGCTGAAGTGAAGGAAACTCTGAGGAGAGCTAATCCAAGGAAGGCCCCAGGGCCTGATAACATACCTGGGTGGGTGTATAAGGAGTGTGCAGATCAGCTGGCTGGTGTCCTCACAGACATCTTTAACACCTCGTTGGACCAATCCATAGTGCCAGCATGCTTCAAGTTTGCCTCCATTATTCTGACCCAAAGACGCCTCAGGTCAACTCACTCAATGATTACCGGCCTGTCGCACTGACTCCAAACATGATGAAGTGCTTCGAAAGGCTGGTTAAAGAACACATCGTCTCCAGTCTGCCGCCAACATTCGACCCGTTCCAGTTCACCTACCGATGGAACCGCTCCACAGAGGACGCCATCTCTGCGGCTCTCCACCTGAGCCTGGCACACCTTGAGGAGAAGAACACCCATGTGCGGATGCTGCTACTGGACTTTAGTTCAGCTTTCAACACCATCATTCCACAGCATCTGGTGGGCAAACCTAACCCTAACAGCTGGGCTTCAATACAACCCTTCGAAATTGGCAGCTAGACTTCCTCACAAACAGACCTCAATCAGTCCGGGTTGGACAGCACACCTCTGATGTCATCATCCTAAGCACAGGCTCCCCTCAGGGCTGCGTCCTGAGTCTCCTGCTGTTCACCCTCATGACACATGACTGCGTCCCACGGTTCATCACCAATCACATAGTGAAGTTTGCAGACGAATCCACGGTGGTGGGCCTCACGACGACAACGACCAGATCTACAGAGAGAAGATGGAGCAGCTGGTGGACTGTTGCAAAGATGACAGCCTGATCCTGAACGTGGAGAAGATGAAGGAGATCATCTTGGACTTCAGGAAGAACCGTCCTAACCACGCTCCACTGGTCATCAACAGCTCAGCTGTAAAGGTGGTCAACAACACCAAATTCCTAGGGGTGCACATGACAGACACCCTCACCTGGAATGTAAACACCACCTAACTGTTTAAAAGAACAAAAAAGTGCTTGTACTTCTTGCGTAGGATGAGGAGAGCCCACCTTCCCCCACCCATCCTCACCACCTTCTATAGAAGCACCATAGAGAGCGTTCTGACCAGCTGTCTCAGTGTGTGAGGTGGAGGCTGCAGCGCCTCAGACTTGAAGAAGGTGAGAAGAGTGGTGAGAACAGTAGAGAAGATCATCGGGGCTTTTCTTCCCTCCATTAAAGACATTTCTTCCCAGCGTTGCTTGTCCCGAGCCTGTAACATTATGAATGACCCCTCGCACCCCCACCATGGATTTCTCTCCCTGCTGCCCTCTTGGAAGAGGCTTCGAAGCATCCGATGGAGGTCCAACAGATTCCATAACAGTTTCTTCCCCACTGCCATTAGACTGCTAAATGTTGTGGAAAATGGGTTATTTTATTTATAAAAGAAAAATGTTCTTTTATAAATAATGCTACAACTGTAAATATAAAGTCATATGTTTATATTACAATTTTTTTATATATTTATTACTGTTTTCAAGGCAGCAATGAAATTGTCTAGAGAGGCTTTAAATGAATTTCTTTTTGTTGACACTCATGTGTACAAAATGACAAAATAAATCTGTCTAAGTCTATTTATAGGGTTGTTTTTTATCAATTGTTGTAGGTACTGAGAGCTGTAGATAGCTATACATTTTTGTCAGTAAATCCCTGTAATTAGTCCACACTGTAGCTCTAAATAAACTGAAAAACATTATCCGACCATAAAGGTGCGTTCACACCGAATACAACACCTGGAAACATTTCACCAGTTTCACCTGCCTTTGCTCACCTTGAAATTTGAATAGCCAGCGAAAGCAGATCACACAGCAGGTGAAAGGCTCCTACGTTATGAAGTCTACTGGTTGCTAGTTTCACCTCAATATGGAGGACATGGATTTACAAGGAGTGTCCAGTTTTTTATTTATTTTAAAAGCTAAACAAAGCTCTGGGGGTCCCTAGGTTCACAGGATTTCCAGAGATGGAAGCAGTACCTGGAATAGCTATATCATTTACCACCAGCTCCTAGAGATGCTATATCTGGATGATGGTCACTTTCAGTGGTAGTTCCGTCTCTCCGTGACCCAATTCTAGGCCCTGCTGTCACAGGGTCAAATCACCCAGAAGACAGAGGGGAGGTGAGGAAAAGGAACAGCAAGAAATCAGGGAGAGGGCACAAGAACCGAGAAAAAGGGAAGAGGAGGCAGGGGTTTGCCGGTAGAGAGAAATATTATCCGGAAGAGAGAGAGCAGAAGCTAGAATGGAGAAGCACTGTCGCTACCCGATCCATCCCGGAAGAACAATCCATACCATCTGCTCATTTGCGCATCCGCAACCAGAAATATATCCAGGTTTCCATATTTCATGAAATCATGGTACTAAATTTTATTATTTCCATTCCCTAACTCACTAAAGAACAATAATACACACCTTTAAAAAAAGGTCTGAGACAATTTTGATGCTTTTTACATTTTCCCTGTTAAACCGCTTGTGTGACGTCATCATCGGACATTGTCTGAGAAGTCCGGCTAAATATGATTAAACCATGTTCATCTGCATTTCAGTTGTTTCTTTCTCTAGATTATGCTCTATATACCTTTCGGTTAACACGAAAGGGAAAAAAAATACTCGATTAATGATTAAATCCAAGGTCGAAAAAGTTAGCTCCTGGAAGTAGCGTAGGATCCCATTTCCTGTACAGATCAGGCACAGACAAGTGATAAGACAGAAAGGATTTTAAAGAATTTATTTTCCCAGGAAATACATAATTAACCTTTAACACATTATAATTTAGTACGCTTACTGTTTTGGGAGCAGGAAAAAAACATAATGTTTTTTACAAAATAAAATTGAGGGGCCAAGATGTATATCTGGTTGAGCATGGGCTGATTGTACGGATCGTGCTTCCGGGACGGATCGGGTGGCGACAAGCATATCAGGGAAACAGCGCTAGGTGAGAAGGGCCACAACTAACCGTAGAGGCCAACTTCGAAGGATAGGAGGACAGTGGTAGATCGGATAAATATTTCCGGCAGAGAGCACCACTGAAGGCGGGGGAGAGGCTTCCAAATGTCAGGGGGGTGGGGGTTCAGTGGCACAGAGCATAGAGAGAGTACATCTGGTGGGAGCTAGCATCGAGGCCAACTTTGGGAGCATTCACCACTTCATACTTAGCATTATTTCCTGCAGCTTCCATTTTGATTTAAAAAAAGCTAGTCACTGCTGCCTCTTTTCTGTAGCCCAAAGCCACATCTAGTCCCTGATTGGATTTCAGGATGTGAATGTAAACAAAACAAAAATAGTAAACATATTTTCAACTCAACACATGTGGTGGCAATCAAATTTTGCCAAATTTGCCAGAAGTGTGCCAAAAATCTTGATAAATTTGCCACCTTCACCTTAATCCACTTCACTTCGGTCCATTTCCACCTTCAACACAATAATTACAAGGAATTTCATTGCTCGAGCTGCAAAATTCATGTTCAGTGTGAAGGCACCTTTAGACAACTGTTGAATTGCATCCAACTTATATATGTTGGATTTTTTAATTTTTTTTAAACCAACCCTAATTTTACTCACGCATTTTGGCCTTAGTAATCCGTGCCTCGTCCTCGGTCTCATCTCGGTAGACTCGAATACACTCTGAATCTCCCTGAGAGATATGCAAGGTAAGTTTGTAACCCCCGGAGAGGTTGGGCGGGCCGCTGGTGCGCAGAACCATGGTTGCACAGTCCTTAAGAGCTAGATAAAGATAAGAAATCACATTGGCACACACTGTTTAAAATATACCTCTTCCTCAAATTTTGAATGAGGTTTACACTCATGGGTCTAAGACTAAGATTTTAAATCTGAAGCATCCTTTTTTTTGGGCTAATTAAGTAACATGTAGTCATCTTTCAGAAACAATCATTTAGCATTGCATGGCTAAGATTATAATGCCACAGTCATATATGGGACCCAAAATTAAGTAACAGTTAATCAGGAGTATTTAGGTAAGCTGAGCTTGGTGTTACTTTCTCTGTCACAAACTGTCTGCAAACCTTCAATATTGCCATTGCTACTATATCCTCACAATTTAGAACGTAACAATAGAGAGTGTGGATAATAAATTTTTTTCTTAGGTGGTAATTTCTATATATGTTGCACTAATAATGCTTTCTTAATACTCTTTACCTGTCTGATTTGGTTTGTGGCCTTTGGTTTGACAGTCTGGTTTTTCGTGGTAATAACTTTCTCTGTCACAGTTTACCAAAACGACAGCTCCATGCCCATCAGGACCCCATTTCCAGGAAGCCTAAGAGATTTTCAACATAAAAAATGGAATAAAAGTCTTTTGAAATCTCTACCCAGCACAATCTTCAAATTCACATTATAATATTTCCTTATTTAAACAGTAAGAATCTGCATTATACAAGAACATTTGTAAATAAGAGAACTGGAAAATTAAAACTTGCTTTT